GCTGTTCAGCACCAGTTGCTCATACTTTAGTTCTTCATAATCAGAGTTATTTTCCCCTTTCTATCCAACTTTAAAATTCATGATTTTACAGGTTTTTTCCAGTTATTTAAATAAGCTACGAGGAAAAACATATCATTTTTATTTTTAGATATGTGTGATTTCGTGACTCTTCATTTCATCATGTAATTTAGTGGAGGAAGAGCTTAATTGCTCTTAAATTTCTTGTCAATTATTTGTAATTTTTGGAAAAAATGACTTTATGTACCCTGTTAACAGATAAGCTGACTTTGTCCATATGTTTTGAAGCACTGTACAGTTACAGTGCAGACGGGGTGGATTTGAACTGGTTTCACATTCTTGAAGCACCCTATACGTATGTCTGTCTGACCCATCAAATGAATCTGTGACTGCAATATATTAAAATGATTTGGCAAGTGAAAACACTACCCATTAGTTGAAATGATAAACTATACTTTTTACCTCTTTATAATAATTATGACAAGGCAGAGTTTTTGATACCATTTTTAAGAGAGTTCGACTCTTATCATGGACATATATATATGAGCCTGTAAATGTTTGTTCTCTTCAAGTGTGTAGTTACCGGCATGATTGCTCCAAATGTGTAGTCAGTTCAGAGTTACTCAAGATCAGATTATCACATAGTGCTTTCCGATTGAAATTAACATTTCCCCATATCCAGAGCATCAATATCTGTTGACATAAATAGAACCTTTACTTGCTATCTAACTGCAACTAGAAGAAAAACTCCCCTTAACCCTGCATAATGTTGATTTGAAACAGAAAGTGGGCTATTTTTCTGTATTGGCTAGGGATCAACAAGAAAGTTCCATTTGTTGTAAGGAACAGTGAGGCAAAAATAAAGAATTAAATAGAGAGTTAAACCTTTATAGTATTTGAGAAAGAAGGAGACAGAAAGGGAGAGAGAATTACAAAACCAAAAGGAATATTTATTTTAATTAACTGACACTATTAACTGTTGATGGGTTGAAAGACTTTCCTCTCTAAAATTAAGCTGTAGGTTCAATGTAGTCTTTATCTTAATCTCATTGGCGTTTTAAAGGAAATTTATAAGCTGATTCTAAAATTAATATAAAAATATAAGAGGCCCAGAATAATGAAACAATATTGGAAAGAAAAACATATGTAGGATTTTTGAACAATTCTGGAGGATTCATCCATCCTGATTTCAAAACTTAACACAAAGCTATAATAATCAGAGCTATGTAGTGCTGGCCTAAAGATAGTATAGCAATGGAATAGAATTGAGAGACAAAAAATGAACCCTTTCATTTTGGACCATTGACTTTTTATACAGATATTGAAATAATTTAATGGGGAATAATTTTTTCAACAAATGATGCTGGCAAAACTATATATTCACATGCAAAGAATGCATTTAATGCCCTACCTCATAGCATATGTAGAAATTAACTCAAAATGATAACAGCCCTAAACCTAAGAACTAACATCATAAAACTCTCAAAATATAGAAACAAATTTGTATGGCCTTGTACTAGGCAAAAGTTTTTTAGATACAGCATCAAAAACACAAGCAACAAAAGGAAAAAATAAATAGGTTATAATCAACAGTCCCATTTATCCATGTAGACACCCAAGAGAATAAAAAAATTCACACAAGTACTTGTTCATCACAGCATTATTCACAATAGGTAAACTGAAATAATACATCCAGCTGATGAATGAAAAAGCTAAATGTGGGATATCCATACATGGGATATTATTTATGCATAAAATATAATGAAATAATGATGTGTGCTACAACACAGATGAGTTTAAAAAACATTCTAATTGAAAGAAAACATGTTTCACGATTCTCTGATGGTTTAGATAAAACTGTCCCCCAAATCTTCATGTTTGGAGGGTGACTGGATCATGGAGGATAATATTCATCAGTGTATTAGTCCATGGATGAGTTCAGTATCTGAAGTGCTGTTGGGAGTGGGGCCTGGTTGGACAAGGGTAACTGGGGCATGAGGTGGAGTGTATTCTTCTCTTTGGCTCCTCCCTTTCTCTCTTCTTCCTAGCTGCAATGGCTTGAATAGCTTTCCTCTGCCCCGCTCCTTCCAACCATTCTTTTTCCACCTTGGAGCCAGCCAACTGTGGATTGAATCCTCTAAAATCTCTATAAACCTCTTTTCCTTTGAGTTGTGGGTGTTGGTTATCCTATCCCACCAAAAAGAAAGTGACTAAGGTAGATTCTTTTTATATGAAATGTTCATAATAGGTAGTACTAGAAGACAGAAAGTAGCTTAATGATTGGTGGCAGATATCTTGAGAGAAGAAAATGGAGAATGACTGCTAAAGGCTAAGGGTTTTCTTTCTAGGGTGATGAAAATGATATAACTTTAGTGATGATAGTTGCAAAACTGAATATACTGAAAACCACCAAATTGTACCCTTTAAGAGGCTGAATATTATGTGAATTATATCCCAATAAAGGTGTTGTAAAAAATTTTGTTTCTAAAGCCCCAAGCAAGTCCTTTTGAAGCTGAAACCTGCAGACATCTTGACTGTACCTTCTTAAGACATCTCATCCTACTGTAAAACTGCACACCCAAACTACTTATAAGTCTCTGACTCATAGAAACTATGAGTGTAAATGTTTTCTAATCCTTAAGATTGGGGACAATTTGTTATCCATCATTAGCAAACTAATACAATGAACTATACATGCTATGTGCTTGATATCTAGAGATGAAACACAAGTTTTTCTTATATAAGAGAATAACTAAGAACCTAATGATTTCAGCGTAAATTTTTCTGCCTAAGTGTTTTTGTAACCCTTCTAATACTGTGTCATTTTCTCTGTAGTAATTTAAGACATTCATATTAACACAAATGTTCAAAAGCTTGCAAAGACGTTCATCTTTTAAGCTTTGGAACGTTAATCTATGAAGTGTTCTTTAACCTTACAGATTTTTTTTCTCTTTATCAAAGTGGAGAAGAGAAAACTAAATTTTAAAAAATCTAAAGAGGGCATTTACCAGATCTGCTTGCTCAATGGATGGGGTGGGGGATTTATGGACAAATGCTTCACAAAAAAAGAAATACCAATAAATGAAATGGCCAATAAATACATGAAGAAATGCTCAATATCACTCACCACTAGAGAAATTCAAGTTAAAACAACACTGAGATTCCATCTCCAGAAAGCATGGCTATCATCAAGATATCAACTAATAAATGCTGGTAAGGTTGGCAAGGGACTTCTTCATTATGGGAGTGTAAACTGGTACAGCTACTATGGAAATCAGTATGAAGAGTTCTCAAAAAACTGAAAATAGAAATTCCATTTGACCCAGTTATTGCCCTTCTAGGTATCTTCCTGAAAGAGTTAAAGACATCATATTACATGCATATCCATGTTTATAGCAGCATAATACATAAATAGCTAAATCTTGGAAGCAACCTATATTCCATCAACAGATGAATGGATAAAGAAAATGTGGCATTTACACACAATGGATTACTCCTCTGCCATAAAGAAAGATAAAGTTCAGTCATTTATAGGAGAATGGATATACCTTGAGACCATAATGTTACATGAAAAAAATTATACACACAAGCTTAAATATTGCATGGTTTCCCTTAGATGAGAAACCCAAAGTGTAAATAAAGAGCAAAATAAAAGATACACAATAAGAAGAAGGGAGATAGAGCTTTCTCAAGAGGATCAGGGATCAAGACATGAAGGGAGCAGAAAGGGAAGTGAGAGAAAGGGGACGAGGAAAGGATTTAATATGTGTTATTTGGATGTCCCAACTCCCCACAAGGAATATGAACATATGTACTATATATATGTACTAATAAAATGATCTGAAATAAAAATAAAATAAATCTAGTGTAGAAGTCTCAAAAAACTACCACCCTTATGTGAAATGTTGCTACATAGTTTTCGTAAGAGTCAGTTTGCCACATCAAAGTGCTTCAGATGCAGCTGTATCCTGTTTTCCTGGAGGTATTAACCAAATTCACTTAGGTCCAAATTTTTAAACTCACATGTTGCCCTCCTTGTTGGAATCCTGCATTCAAGGTCATAAATGCTATTTATAGGTGTAGGTTTGCTTATGGGTCTTTCTCCATGTGGCTTGTTTCAGTGAAATCAGAGTCCCTAACTAATTGTGTTTGTGACTCTGCTTCTAAAGAGTGGGGTTCCTAAGAATTATCTATTAAAGAACAGCTCCATGGCCTAGCAGAGAACTAATGTCTTCCATAAAGAATTGACAGCAGCCATGCTGTCTAGAATCCAGCCTCTCCTCTGACTTCTCTGGGTATCATCCAACTCCCCTTCACCACTGTCCTGCACCACCAGCTGACTCCATCCTTGAGTCCCTCCCTTGATCCTCCTACTTGTCTGTAGTAGAAGTGTATTAAACTTAAAAATTAAGGGGTCAATTTATTCCTTTTTTGGTAAGGTGTGTCCTCAAAATCAAAGTCTCATGATAAAGAACTTCGGATTTCTTCTTCTGGAAAAGTTCCTATACAATTTAGCCAGAAGGAACTTTGGCAGGCAACCGTTTTTCATAGATTTGTTCCCTTTATATTTTAGTACTGTATCATGGGAGGGTACAAACAAGGACAGTGCATCAAAACATCTCTTACCACCTGTCTATCGCTGCGGCCTTCCCTACTTTTTGCACTCCTTTTCTGGGCTGGTTTAAAAGGCAGTCCCAAAAGCCTGTGGTTGAGTAGCAGGAAGCTAAATGATGAATTCTGAAGCTCTTAATATATTACCTTGTGTGAATGGGCCATTTGAGCATTTCAGCAACCAAATGGGAGAGAAAAGTACATTAAAAGCACTGAAAAGATTAACACCTGTTTCCAGTCTTAAAAGGAATTGGAACATACAGTCTATATCCAGAATAAAACCATTTACTCTCCCACGTTCAGATATTTTATTCAGATCTTCAATTCTATATGTAGAGCACCCACATGCTTATGGGTTTGTTTCACTACAGGATTCCACACAGAACTTGGAAGACAGAGAAGTGATGAATGGTGTGCAGACAGAACTTCTAATGTCTCCACAAATGAAGGATGCATTGAGGTATTTTCTTCATGCATATAAGAATATTTTTCTTTATTTCAACTCAATCTTGGTTTATATCACAGCTTGTAACTGGTTTTATTTCATAGGAAAGAAAAAGGTAAATAGAAGTGTAGCATGAACCATGTTGCAATTCTAACATTAATTACATAGTTATTCTTTCACATTTTCTGTAGAAGATATGAGAACTTACTGACAAATGTATATAAAAGTGATCCTCAGTCCTCCCAATACTCTTCCACAATGAGGTTTTCTTAATTACTTTTCCTTCTCTTTGAACACTAGTATAAAGTGAACACTTCAAGGTTCATTGAGGTTGAATGTTTTACTTTGGGTCCAGCTCTCTAAATACTGCTTTATATTGTTTGAATAATCTTGCAGTGTTTTACTTGATGCATATAAAATGAATCAAGCCTATCAATCAGAATTTTTCATGGTGTTGATGAAAGTAACTTATGATTTGAAGTCAGTTTTGCCCATGTTTGCCAGTACTGCCTTTTCTTTTTCTTGCATTAATTGTCCAATACTAAAGCCCAGGAACTGACTGTTCAAATCCCAGCTCTACTGCACACTTGACAAATACATTAGACAGGTTCTTTGAGTAGGTTTCTGCTTTGCAAAATAGAAATAGTAAAACTTTCTTCAAAGGGTTAGTATGAGGACTAATTATTATGCTATGATGTGTAAATTTTATTATTTATTAAGTTAATATAGATAAAGTGCTTGGAAGAGTGCTTGGGTCATAGCGAGTCCTTCTGAGTATTTGGTGCTGTTGCTACTGCTCTTATTATTACCATTATTTCTGTTACTGATTGACTATCCTGTATCCAAAATGCTAGGCACCAGAAATGCTTCAAATTTTGGACTTTTCCTTTTTGAATTTGGGCATATTTGCCTAGATCTTCTAATTAAGCATACCCAGTTCACAGTTCTGAAATATGAAATTGCTCCAAAATCCAAAACTTTTTCAGCATTATGGCAACACAGACAAAGATTCACATTTTGGATATTTTAATAGTGTTATTCAACTTGTGCTATTATTATTGCCATTATCATTTATTTAATTTGCTTCAAATTTGGCAAAAGGATAGTGATTTCATATGTAACATATGATTTTTAAGCATTAAAAGGTGATGCTGGTCCCGCTACTCCTGGCCCAGAGGAAGGGGCTTCTGGGCCACCATCCCTACCACCGCTTCTGGCCCCTGTCCCACCTCTCCCAGCTCAGAGGAGGTGAGCTGTGAGGGTGCCAACAGCACCCCCCCCCGCACGCACCCTCAGTTGAAATGAGAAAACATGTAAATAAGTCTCAAAACCAGACTTCCACATCACCTACAGCAACCCCAAAGGGAAATGAGATACAACACTCTGATACTCAACCACCTGGACCCACTGAACTGGCAACAAAAGAAGATCTGGAAAAAATGAAATCAGAAATAATTTCTCAGATAACAGGAGAAATTGTGCTCCTAGTGTGAGACATGATTAATAAATCTAGAGAGGAGCTGAGGAACATGATGGAATCCCAACATAGGAAACAAATGGAATCCATAAAA